AACTGCACAGTCCCCATTTTTGTAAGATAACATTATTACGAGTAATATAGTCTAGTATTCTCTGATTCAAGATGTTAGAAAACTACCAAAATTCAATGACGGTGTATGATTTTCATTTAAAAAAAGAAATAATTTCACTCTTATTCAATATACAAAGTTGAACCATTTTTATCCTTAGAATATTGAAATTCTATAAAAAAAAAAAATGTTATCAAGATCAATTTAAAGTGTCTGATTGCAAACAACAGTGCATTATTTTTTTGTAAAAGGAAGACATATTGTCATTACTAAACAATGCTAACAAAATTTTAGTATCTTTTCTTTGATATTCATAATATTTTTGGAAAAAAGTTAATATGTATTAAAATCTAATGGCAGTTCATGATTTTCATTAAGATAGAGACATATTTGACATCTTATTTAACAAACACAAAAGATTAAGCATATTTATCCTTATATTACTCACATTCTTTAAAAAATTACTTAATATCCAGATACTTTTAAAATGACTGATTATGAATAACAGCTATAGAGAAGAAATACATGTTTTTTATTAGAATTTATAAACAATGGGAACAAAACTTTAGTGTTTTTTCTCTGTTATTCGTCATATTTTATGGAAAACAACCCATCCCTATGTACGAAAAGTACTAAAATCCAATGGAGGTTCATGATTTCCATTATAATCATGATAATAAATAAATAAATGCATTCTTATTCAACACACAGATAAGTTAAGGCATCTTTTTCCTTATAATATTCACTGAAAACATAACATAAAGAGAGGCATTCAAAATGACTGATTGAAAATAACAATGCCGTATTTTTTAATAAAAGGAAAAAAAATATTGGCATTTTTAAACAATGCGAACACAATTTTTCTAATATTCATCATATTTTATGAAAAACAACCCATCCTGATGAATAAAAAGTACTAAAGTCTTAAAACAGTTTATGATTTCCATTAAAATAAAGAAATATTTACATTCTTATTCAAAAGTTTAAGCATCTTTTTCCTTATATCATTCACTTTAAAAAATGACTGATAAAGAGGCATTTTAAACGACTAGTTGTAAATAATAGTGCCTTATTTTTTATAAAAGGAATAAATATTGGCATTTTTTATACTATGCGAACAAAAGTTTTTTTTCTGGGAAATTCTTCATATTTTACTTAAAATATCTCATCTTGATGTACAAAATGTACTAAAAACCAAAAGCGATTCACGATTTCCATTTAAATAAAAAAATAATTGCATTGTTATTCAACACAAACTAAAGTTGAAGGATTTTAATCTGTATATTAGTCACATTAAAAAAAACTTGTCTAGAAGCATTTGAAATGACTGATAGTAAATAACGGTGCATTATGTTTGATAAATACAACAAATATAATAATTTGATTTTTAAACAATGCGAACAAAATTTTAGTATTTTTCCGTGATATTCTTCATATTCTAGGAAAAACAACCCATCTTGATGTACACAGTGTACTAAAAACTAATGACGGTTTGTGACTTCCATTAGAATAAAGAGATAATTGCTCTCTTTTGCAAAACACACATAAGTTTAAAGGCATCATTATCCTTTGATCATTCAAATTTCATAAAAAAAAAAAACCATCAAGAGGCATTATATTTGACTGATTGCAATTAAATGTGCATCGATTTTCATAAATAGAAGAAATATGGGCATTTTTAAACCAATTTTTTCTCCAAATTTGAAATGTTTTTGCGGGTTTTAATTGCTGCACATATGTTCCCTTTTCTTTTGGTCTTTGTTTTAATTATTTTTAGCATGTCATTGTTTCTTAGATTAAACAATCAACAAAATAAACGAATGCAATAATAATTAAGGGAAGATATCAATTTATTTCATGTTTTCAGTTCTCTTTTTCCTCCTCAACAATTCTTCTTTTTTCTTTTGCCAGCTACGTTCTTCTGTAATTAAAATATAACAATATCAGTCCTGCTATAAATTCATAAACAAGTGAAAATTCGTTAAATTTTTAAGCCTGTTTTGTTCATACAAATCAACTCTAATAAAATATAAACATGATAAGTCAATATCTAAAAAGTAATACCATCACAAAATTTGCTCCTCCAGGATGGTTTGGAGTATTTCGGAGGACTTCGGCCACTTTATATTCAATGTCCTTAATCTTAAACAGGTCTTTGGTGGTTCTTCTAATTGCATGAATTGATCCTGCAAGAGGCCGAGGACACAGTTATCGTCCTTTGGTTTTCGTTGTCTACGAATATAGTACCTAGTGTGAATAGTGTATAACTTGCAAATTTTTTCATTAACTTTCCCAATTCATTTCTTGATATTTAAGCATGAAATATTAGTTAGGAGATGAAATTACATGTTAAAAAATTTGGTTGCTGAATCTTTATTTTAAGTAGTGATTTGGTCCAGTTAAAAAAGGTCAAAAATTGGTATGTCTGAAGCTGTCAAACTGAATTTTAAACCCCCTTAACATAGAATTGACCATATTTTAAGTTAGACTTTTCTATAATGTTGATACTATTTGTCCCAATAGTAGTACACTACACTGAAAAAATCTCTTTGAGATAAAGCAGGCGCGATTGTTTTGATTTGAATTTATTGTCTAAAAGAAATGCACTACGAAATAACTGTATTCTCGGGTCAACAAATAACAAAGTCCATGAGAAATAATATATACAATACAAGTATTATTAAACAACGAAATATACATATTTTCACTATACATACGCAAATCATTTTAGTTAAATCAAATTTATACATTTTGGTATTTATAAAATTTACTTCGTTCAAGACAAAAGTAACAATATACACAGAACGAAATACAACGAAAGGCAAACAGAGACCTTCACAACACACGGAAAGGTTTCATGGTATACTTTATCAAAGATTTTAAGTAAATTGTGGCTTGGAAATCCCTGACTTCATAGTTTACCACGGATGCATAGATTACGTTCATCATCTAAATGTATAACTTACTTCACACACAAACATAGCGAACGAGCTGGGATATATACGACTGCGTAGAATGGAAACAAAGTAACATCACCGTCAAAAAAACTTTTAGAAACATTAAAAATAGGGCAACGAAGATCGCCCCTTCTTCTCTGCATATATAATTGTTGTATATAAAAGCATCTTGAAAGATTTCAAGGCAACAATACTCTATAATGTTTCAATTAAAAAATGAAATGAATACGTTATAACTGTCATGCTTCCGAGTCGCTTTTCTGGATTTATTCTCATCAGGATATTTGAAAGCCAAGGATGTTTAAGAATCGAAATAGTTGAAGACCAAAAGGTCTAAAACATTACCCAGTCAACAACCAAATGATATACAACACATTTAATAAAAGCCATGAACAGGTATCAATATCCAACAATGGACACGTGTCTTTACAAATTGTCAAACTATAAATCACTGAGAAACTAGATATTTTGAATTGAACAGATTCTCTCTGAAGTCTGATAACAAAGTCAAATCACTTACAGTAAACAAGCCTTAAGATTGCATAAATCTTCAATTTTAATTTATCCTTTGGAATGAAATAATGTATTTCAATCTGTCACATTTGGTCATCACCTAGTTCACGAATAGTTTGCTTACAGCTCATAAACATGTTTGTCCCTGAACACACTTTCTTGTATTTATAGGCTTATATTTATAGTGATTTCCATAATCATGAAAATGTCTTGATAGATTTTTATCATTAAGATATGTAAATAACTGCATTCGTCAGTTATATTTGTTTAATGTGTATTTAAGACTTTCAATATACTACTACTGATTGAAATTTTGAATTACTTGTGAGCACTTAGGACGATCCTGTGTAAATTAAATGTGCTGATTTGTATTTTTTAAAGGCTTAAACATATCAAAATGCAGCCTTTTGTATGAACATGTACATAACACAGGACAATTTTTTAATCACATGTCAAACTATTTACACTTATGTTATGCTTTTGAGTGTAAGTAAAGAGTAATAGTCTAGATCTTACCGATCTCTTCCTTCTTTTCCACATAATGACTAATTGAAGGTTCAACCTACCAAAGCATTCACACACAGGAAGGATATTTCCCTGATTACTTTTATGTGAACTCGTTATTCATGTGACCTAAAATTGCATTTGTTTGTTCAAGATGATAATAATGGGTATTTCATTTTTTTTTGTGAAGTTTATATACAAAACTTACTTAGGAGCTTCTGTATAACTTTTTCTTTTTCTAGTTCCTGAAAATAAAACTACCTACTACCTTTTATGATTGTCTACCTTATCTTTCACTATAAACTCACTGATATGTATAATTTGGCATGAACATTATGCTCTTTCTATTTTAATGAAAATCAATTGTCCAAATCATGTATCAAAATTTTGTTTACAAGGTTCTGACAACAACATTTTTTTTGGTAATTTCCGTTTTTTTCTGTAATTTTTACGTCAAACCAATGACATTTCTACTTATAATGAATAGGTTTTTTTTGTACCATTACAAGAAAGAAACAAACAGAAGATCCTGGCAAGATTTTAAGATAGCAAATAAAACAGAACGGTGTTCGAGACTTCATCATGATCAGTAAATGAAAGTTTCAGACAGAGGATATGCCTTTCAATCACATGTAAAGTATCCATGCATGTTTCTGCAACAAGACATAAACACACATTTTTTTTTATTGGTGACATTTGTCTTGGAGTAACTGCGATTCTACAAAAAACCGGCAAATGCAAATTATGATGCACATCTTTTAACTTCAATCATGATAAAATGTTAAATAATGTGGATATTTAAGGATAGTAAAATATCAGCATGCTGAACAGAAAATGAACCTCACTGTTGGTTCATAATGCTCAACTGCAATCCAGCGATATATTCTGGCTGCAGGCAGATACTTTAATCTATTTTATCTTATCCAGATTAAGAATATAACATTGGCATATTAGTAGGGACGGATAAATAATTTTGTACGTTTTCTTATTTCGGTTTCAACTTTGCAGGTCTCCAAGATAATATAAAGACGATTTCGGATAAGCAATTTAAAAATCTATTAAAAAGTGGAACATATAATTGTTTTTGGAATAGAATTTTTTTGACTGGTCGGTTTGCAGTGGGTAAAACAACTTTAGCCAAGATTTTAGTCGGAGATGAGGCCCCAGAACAACGCCAATCTACAGATGGCATATGGATCTATCTTGGAAGGGCTGGTATGGACATAAAAGAAAGAAGTTGGATTTTTTTAGAGAACGGTATATAAGATTTAGGCAATATGAACAATTGTAATTTAGTAATTATTTTACACTGTTAAAAACTTCAAATTTTATTCTTAACCTTCAATATTTAAAAAAAGATTACATATAAAACAATGCAAAAAGAAGATGTGGTATGATTGCCAATGAGACTACTCTCCACAATAGGCCTCCAACAATGGGCAAAGCCCATACATGACTGCCGTAACTAAAGGAGTTATGTCATCCATGTGTTTTCCTAGTAGTTCTGCATTTCCTTTTCTGGTTCTTGATATAACAGTTTTGTAAGATCAACCCACGTTTGTCTTTTGACACTGGCATATACTATTTGGCATGAAGAAGTATCTGAATTGTTGAATATCACTATTTTCTTTGTGTAACCATTACCTTTAACCTCCTGATCACAATATTGGATTTGTTTTTACATTTCGTCTTCTAACACAACCGTTTTATCTCTTGACAGAGGCCTTTGATGTTCGGTCCATGGGTACTGCATCTCAAGACAAGTGCATAGTGCTATCCAACATTGATTTTCGACGTCAAATAGTAAAAAAAATGTTGTTTATATGTAAACATAACAAAAAATATGCTTGTTTGCCATGGCATGACCGTTCAATGCAAGAACGGGTTAACCCCCTGGGAGTTTAATCCCACCCGTTCATGTAATAAATCTTTAAGTATTGTATTATAGTCACGACCCCCATTCCTAAACCATATACATAAGAATTTTAATTGCCATGATAAGACCTTTCGTATTCATCAAAGGTTTAAGTGCAATATCCAGTTATTGTTCAAAGTCTTTAAAGCAGTGCATATCCCTATCCTAAACTATATGCTAGTATATTATTAATCATCATGGTAATTGTTGCTTGGGTAATTGGACTGAACATTGTTGGTCTGTTGAAATGTAATGACATATTGTGATAGTTTAACCTTGATGATTTAATGTATATAGATGAAATTTTTCATACTTAATAGGATTCTCTGTAATTATGTGTAGTTAACCACTATTATATAGCCATCACAAACAAAACTGTTCTAATATTTTGACAATCTTGGCCTATTGTAGCATAATTAATAAATAGTAAGTGTAATTCTCTGACATCATTTGCCTGTCAATTCTTAAGATAGAACCATTTGATGGAATTGTAATTTGTTACAACAAAAAACTCTTTAGCATTTGACTATTACAGGAATATTTGAATTCGGCAATACAAGGCTTTTTGTAATACATCGACACCTTGTGAATACATATTGTATGGGATATAATATCTAAAAGCTTCTTTCTTTGTTACATGTAGTTTGGTTGTTATTACGCTTTATTGTCCATACAACATTGTCAGAAAGGAAATTTCAAGTATCATCAAACAGGAAAGATGCAAAAAGTACTCAAATCAACTCATCACCGGCAAGCTGTCGATTAACTATTAAGTCATCGTGTTTAGAATTACCTGACTTAAGTGCAAGTGTGACATGATTATGTTTATATTAAAAGAAAGACGAATGTTTTGATAAGGTGATTTCAAGAATAATTCCACTCTTTTAGTGGGATATTATTATTCTCTGATGCAACTTTAAAACCAATTACCTATTTTTGTAATAAAATACCTATGATAAAAAATCAGTCAGCAATAAAAAAAGCTCTTGAATGAATTCAATTTTTAAATTTCATTTTCAATTCGTTTCAGGGACTATTTTAAATGCAACTATACAAAGCTTCCTTAGGAGTAGAGAAATGACACATCGAGATGCTGAAAAACATAGTCACAATATCCCAACTGCGCCTACAGTTTTCAGCAAAACGTTCAAAAGTCGTATACCGATACCGATGAAAGGTATGTGTAAATGAATGTCAATCATATTCATACTATAAACATACATATATTCATTACCATAGCCACTTATATAAAAATAAGATGTAATATGATTGCCAATGAGACAACACTCTACAAGAGACAAAATGATACAGAAATTAACAACTATAAGTCATCGTACGGCCTTCAACAATGAGCAAACTCATACCGCATAGTCAGCTAAAAAAGGCACCGAAATGAAAAATGTAAAACAATTCAAACGAGAAAACGAACGGCCTAATCCATGTACAAATTAATGAACGCAAAACAAATATGATACACTGCAGAAACAGACGACAACCACTAAATTATTGGCGCCTGACTTAGGACAGGCACATATAGAATGTGATAGGGTTAAAGATATTGGTGGGCGCCCAACCCACCCCCTAACCTGGGTCAGTGGTGTAACAGTACAACATAAGACCAAACTATAAAAATCAGTTGAAAAAGGCTTAACTCATCAGATGGATACAAATAGAAATACTTCTAAAAAAAACACAGAGTGGACGTGGTATCACTTTGTCAGTACCTCCTCTCCTTAATGAAAACAAATAATTTTCAGTAAATTTATAGGAATAATTGTCACATTCGTAATCAGTACATCGTGGTAAATGCGTACAACTTTCTAGGATCTTCTGAGTATCACCAGATCTTTGGAAACCAATAGATCAACGTGAAATTGCCGATCACGTGTTGATACTCTAGTGCAATTATATATGCAGAGCAAAATTGAGATATTTTCTCTCTTTTTTTCTCCGTATTTTACTGATACAAAAAACATTAAGCTGTGTCATAATTTGATTCACTCTAAAGGTTAAGGTTTAAGACATCAATTACTTCGTCACACTTTATGAAATTCTACGAAACCTGGAAAATTATAACAGTATATAGAGCAAAATTTGTGATAAATAATTGTTTTCAATTATCCATAATATACCGATTAAAAGGTCATTGTTTTTTTCCGGGGGGGGGGGGGGGGGTGTTATTTTTTTGATAAACATTTATAAATTTGTCAAACGTTCATAACATTATAAATATCTTAACCAGAAGTTTTTTTATGATTTTGAAAAGCTGTTTTTTTTTTAATTTTCAGTATTCAACTGATAAATGAACTTATTTGTTAATATTAAAACATAACACTGTTATGCTTATAGCAGCAATAGCAGGCAAGATACATAGCTCCGTTGAACCGTTAAAGAAATTTTAGAATATACATATTTTATCCACAATTTAAAATTCAAAGAAGGAAATACTTTTAATTCTTATCTTAACTCTGTGTTTTTAATAATACCAGCTTCGTTTAGATAAATAATGCAACCATAAAACAAGATATATATGTAACAGTGGATTTGTAAAATCAGGAATGGCGTTTGTAAAATTCCAAAAATCCCTAACAGATTCAGAGATTTTGTAAAATTCGTGAGGTTGTTTGGAATTTTATTACTGTACTTTTCTTATTAGAGTTTCACAATAAATTGTAGAAATTTATTTATTCATAGACATTACCGATTTGAATTATTTTAAAATGACTACGAATAAAAAGCATATGTACAGACATAAAGTCTGCAATTAACTTTTTTTGCATTATGAATTTGGGTTATATATGCTGTTTTATAGTTGTTCTGCTTTTTGACAGGCAGACCTTATAATTACCTATCCAAATTTATGAACTTCATACCTACACTATTATTTAAATTGAATACAAACCTTTTTTTTTATTTTGATCTTAAGAAACATAAAAAAATATAGAAAATTATGTCTCCCTAATAATTGAAATGCTGGTCCAATATAAAGTATCATTTTTTTAAATTATCTGGTGTTTCAAGTTTTTAGTATTAAATCAATTTATATATTATATTTTGTAGTGTACTGTATCATAATTATATGATCCATCGCCCCGTAAGATTTATCGTAGGCTATTATTCAGTTATTTTAAATATATATATTGGGCTTGTATTATATTTGCCTTCGGGTTTATATGATCCGTTCATCCTATTTCGACTCTTCAAAATTCAATAGTCAATCCCAAATTGAGGTAAATTATATGGCCTTCCAAATACCGTTTCGATTCCTAACATCACTGAAGAGACATTAATTGTCGAAATCCGGATATGGTGTACAAATTTTTGCACCTCATGTTTGCGGTATACCATCTTTTCCGCAAGTTTTTTGTTTTCTATTTGGTATTAGATTAAAATTAAGATCCATTTTGTTACATCTGTGATCCGTTTATTTGGCAATCGCCATGGCAGTCAGCAGGGTTTAAGAACATCCGTTGTTCGACCTGCTAGTCAAATGCGTTTTGTTAAAATATACTTTTTCACTTTTTGGTCTTTTGGAAAATGTTGTTTGTGCTGTATTTAGACCCCTCTACCAAGAAATTTGTTTTGCATGCACACGTATAAAAATTGAGGTTTTTATCCACGCAATCATAGGTTTGAACGTTGTTTTCAATTTAGACTTGTTTATATGTTTTCGTTTGGGCTTGTATTATATTTGCCTTCGGGTTTATATAATCCGTTCATCCTATTTCGACTCTTCAAAATTCAAGAGTCAATCCCAAATTGAGGTAAATCATATGGCCTTCCAAATACCGTTTCGATTCCTAACATCACCGAAGAGACATTAATTGTCGAAATCCGGATATGGTGTACAAATTTTTGCACCATATGTTTGCGGTATACCATCTTTTCCGCAAGTTTTTTGTTTTCTATTTGGTATTAGATTAAAATTAAGATCCATTTTGTTACATCTGTGATCCGTTTATTTGGCAATCGCCATGGCAGTCAGCAGGGTTTAAGAACATCCGTTGTTCGACCTGCTAGTCAAATGCGTTTTGTTAAAATATACTTTTTCACTTTTTGGTCTTTTGGAAAATGTTGTTTGTTCTGTATTTAGACCCCTCTACCAAGAAATTTGTTTTGCATGCACACGTATAAAAAATGAGGTTTTTATCCAACGCAATCATAGGTTTGAACGTTGTTTTCAATTTAGACTTGTTTATATATACATATATATAGATAGATATATATATAGTGTCTAAAAATCAACATTCAATCTATCTAGGCGTGGATCAGTTTGTAAATAAACTGATGCAGTTACTACATTAAATTATATAAGTGCCTAAGAATGTAACTTTAACACACTAATGAGTGTTATAAAATTAGTTGTTATATTTTATACTATTCACGCAATATTTCCCTAAACAAATTAGCTTCATCAGGCGTGTGCATCTCTCAAGGTGAAATCGGATGCATGACAAAAAAATATTTTTGTAGCTTGAACTACACAAAATTTGAGTAAAAGTTTAACAAAATTTATTGATGTTCTATAACAAATATATGTTTGTAAATTGTCTAGAAAAATATTTTTGCCGCTTATTGTACATAGCAATTCTTAAATCAAAACAAATAGTTGTTTTAGTTAAATATAATGAAGTTCAGGATTTATTCCTTTGGTTTTGGGTAGAACTGTTTTTCATCTCTCTCATTAAGTCCATCAGGTTCAAGAGTAGCTGATGCATCCAGAACCTTTCTCTCTGTTTTCTCCTTTGAGAGTCCCAATTTTGGTTTACCTCAATTATTTGAAAGGTGATATTTTCAAAAGTATGCCCTGTTCTTAAGAGGTGTCTCGTAATTGGACAGTTTCTTCCTTTTGTATGAAAAGACCGGTGATTTTTAAGTCTGATGTTGAATTTCGTTTCTGTTTCACCAACATACTGCAGCTTGCAAGTTCCACAAGTAAGAATATAAATACTATTTTCCGTTTTTCAATTAGATGCAACATAGATGTTGTATCGCTGCTTTGTTTCTGTGCTGCTGAAAGAGTGGTCAGTGTTTGCGACTTTACAGCACTTACAATTGTTTCTTCCGCATTGTGTTTAACACCCAATTTTAGAAGTCTCTTGTTTTTTTACTTTAGATGTGACAAGTATGTCTTTGAGATTTTTGGGTCTGCGATAGGCAATAACAGGAGGTGATGGAAAAATTTCTTTTAAGGAAGAGTCATTTTCGATAAGACGCCAGTGCTTGCGGATAGTAGATGAAATATTTGTCAAATCGGGATGGAAGGTGACAACAAACGGAATTCTATCTGCGCGTGTCGTCTTATCTTTGTATTCCATGAGGATATCTCGATCTTCTTCTTGGGCTTTATCAAAAGCGTCTGTGATGTTTTTGCTTTTGTATCCTCTAGATTTTAGTTGTTTTTTTAGTTGTCCCAAACGATAGTTGAGTTTGGATTCTGAGGAGCAAATTCGCTTTAGTCTGATGGCTTGACTGTAGGGTATGCTCCTGGAGCAGTGTTTCGGGTGACAACTTTTTTGGAGAAAGGAACTGGTGTTAATCAGTTTTCTTTGTGTGGAGATCAGTTGTAATGACCCCGTTTTTTACAAATGTGGTGGTGTCGAGAAAAGCAATTTTCTCGCTTGAAAATTCAGATGTAAATTTAATTGAATGATGAAACTGATTACAATGATCTAAGAAATCTTGTAAATGTTCTGCAGTATCGTTCCATTTCATGTCAATATCATCAATACAACGGAGCCATGACAAGGGTTTGTATGGCACACTCAAAAGGATGCGTTCTTCAAGATCCCCCATAAAAATGTTGGCAAAAGAAGGTTCCATTTTTGTTCCCATACTAGTTCCGTCAATCTGTAAAAAGTGCTTGTCGTTGAAAATAAAGTTGTTATTTTCAAGCACTAGCTTGAGCAATTGAACTAGACAGTCAGTTTGTGGATGTTTATCCTTTCGAGTGTTCCATACTTTTTCACACGCGGCTATTCCTTCATCTTTTGGAATATTTGTGTATAAAGAACACACATCCATCGAAACCAAAATTGTGTCATTAGGTAAAGGACTTAAGGAATTCATTTTTGTCAAATAGTCAGTTGTATCTTAATATGAGATGGCAGTTGACTAACATGTGGTATAAGGTGGTAATCAACAAATTCTGAAATTTTTTCGGTTGGATGGCCATTA